TGGAAATACTTATATCTCTGACATCTGCATTTTTAGACACAAAAATACACAAAAGTACTTGCTCTCTAAGTTACAGGCAAGAGAGCCAGTCTGACCAGGGTAGGGAGACTGAACAGAGGGGGTTATCAATGTGGGATTCTTTCAGCACAGACCCCAAGAATTAGGGTATCAAGAAACTCATCCTAAAATAATACGTGATGGTTTACGGCAAAAAGCTATAATCACCATGCTAAGAGAAACTCCAAGATCCCCCAGTCCCCCAACCTCTGTCCAAAACACATTGTGGTGTCCACCTTGTGGGCCGTGGAGTTGCTTGCTCCTCAATTCATACCTCGCTCTAAAAACGGCTCCTGAAACCAATTCCAAACAGCAACCTCGCCTTGGTCATTTTTTGTTTTACTGCAAAACTTCCATTTCTCATTGCTTAACAAAATACTTTTACTGACTTCTCCATGAAGTCTGCTTTATTTTCCAGAAACGGTCACGTTTCTCTTCGTGCTACAGCACCTTTTACTAAAAGCCCACAGTTGGCTGGATTGTGCAGGGATTCTCCAAATGACTTTGTGTTTTTCCTAAGTAGATCAGTCTCATTTTTCAGAGGAATTGAGGAAGAACAGACATGTTCGAGCCTGCACTCACATCCCTTCTGGGCTGTAAAACTCTGGTTGCTGAGGGAAGAAACTCAGGGAGTTCATCTTCTCCAGCAACTCTTGGCTAAAGTCACAGGACCCGGCAAGGGGGCCATAGGCGGCTGGAGCCACCCCTGGTCTGGAATTGTGTCTTGCCCGGTCCTGAGAACCCGAGAAAAGCTGTGGCCTGCTGCAGGGCCACGTCATGACTTTCATGGGCCCCGCGCACTTTTGCCTTCATGGGCCTCCACGGGCCTGTTCCTCCATAAAAGAAATATTTAAAAATCATATTTTATGACTGCAATGTTAGAAAGACAATTATGATCCAGCCTAGATTCACTCTTAGGTCTTCGTTATTATTATGTTAATTTTTTTCCTGCTGCTTTGAAAAGCAGTCAAAATGAAAACATTTCATGGGTCCCTAGAAATACTGTGAGCTCTAGGCCCTGGGCCAGTGGGCCAGCAACCACAGCCCCTGCCCCCGGTCCTTGGGGGCCGAACCCCATCTGTACAACCACCTTCTGCCAGGAACGCAGCCCTGCTGGCCAGGCCCTGCTACCCCGTCTCCCTTCACTGAAGAGCGTGAGCCCCTCGGCTCCCCACCTCACTGGGACAGGGCTGGTCCCCGGGGCCACGATCTGCCCCTCAATATATTGGAAGACAGCTGGGAATAATAATAATAATAACATAGCAAGCTGAAGTCCCAGGTGCTAAGCCCTGCTCAAAGCGCTTTATGTGGCAGACTCCGTCGGGGGTTTAACAGCTCACCGGCGACATGACTACAGGCAAGTAGGACGCGTGCGGTGTTAGACCCCTCCTCCCAAGGACACCACGTGGCAGGCTGAGCCCCGTGCTGGCACCCTAGCATCTCAGCCAGCACTGGCTCTTATGATTCATCAGAATCACTTGGTTCATTATAATAATTGATTATAATAATTGGGTCGAGTGGGGGCTGCCCCAACTCTGCTTTCCCCTCTATCCTAGAAGATGCTGACCTTGGGCTGAGGACCCTTCTTTGTGAGCTGCTCTGGCAACGTCAGAACCCAGCCCTTGCCCCCTGCCCATGGACTCGCTCAGTGGGCTTGCCCACTCCTTCCCCTCCCATCAGAGCAGGCCCGAAGCCCACCCGCCTCCTCCAGGCCCCTCCTCACCCCTTGCCCTGTTCTCAAGCGGCTCCAGAAAGGCCCGGGGAGGCCTGGCAGCCTCTCTCCTGGGGTCCTGTTACCCCCGTCTGTCTTCTCCCGGGCATGAATACAAAATGCTTTCTCTCCACCACTTGCTACTTCACTCTTATGACATCATCTGGCTCACACACGCTTCTTAGTTACTGTTTCCCGAACACTTAAAAGTCTACTCCCTCCAGCCCCGGTCACCCCTGCAGCTCCATCCTATGAAAAGAGCACAGGGCTTTGAAGCCAGCAGGAGCTGGGTTTAATCCTGGCTCCACAATTGACCAGCTGTGTGACCCTGGGCAAGTCAATTAACCTCCCTGAGCCCTGCATTGTTTATCTGTCTGAAATTAACTGGAGACAATCTTATTTTCTTTAGCAGTGGGGCTCTGGGGCTTTTTTGTTTTGAGGGGTGAAAACTGTGATAAGCCCTTTGAGGTCGGGGGAAGAGCCCCTACCTCCTACCCCACGAGACGTCTGCTTGAAGACCTGGAGATGGCTGTCTTGGGCTGCCCACCAGCTTTTATTGGGTGACTGGAGTGAGCAGGTTGAGGGGGAGGGCTGGGTGCTTGGGATAATGGAAGGGATTCTTCGAGCTTGCAGCGGGGAAAGAAAAGGTGAAACCACTAAGAAAGGAGAGGGGCCAGCATGGCACAGCCCACCTGCTCAAACCAGACCCATCCCCTCCCACTACCTGCTTTTCTCCCACATTCCCCATCTTGGTGACCCACCGTCCCCAGCCAGCCAAGCAACACCAGGTCAGAGGCTCTGGCCATCTGGACTTAGAGGCCCCTCCTCAGAATCACGTTTCTGGCTGCATAAAATAAAATACACAGGATGACAGAGCACACCAGTTACATGGAAATGTAGTTAGCAAAATAAACAAGTGTGCAGAACAGGAATATATGTGCCTCTTCATTAACACACTAGATAACAAGATTCCGCAGAAGCTCTAGTACACGTTACACTTTTGAATGAACACATCTCAAGATATCTGCCACAACCGTAGTGTGAGAGCACAAATACAGACTATTATTGGCAACTACCTAACAGGTGCTCCCCGATACCGCATTTTGTCGCCTCCGTTCATAGTTGAAGGACATACTGCATGTCAGTTACAAGTTAGAAAAATAAGGCTGGAACTTTTCCCCCTACCCGGCTCATGGACCCCCTGAATTCTGTGGAATCCACACTAGGAAGCTGCCCGGCGTTCTCTGTTTTCCAGGCCCACTCAGCTCTCCTGAGCAGTCTGCAACCCTGCTCACTTCACCTCCTAGCCGGACAGAGGGCATGTGCGCCTACATCCCGTTCCCACTGCCCCTGAGCTGGGAAGGCAGGGTGGGGCCGTGTCCTTTCTCACCTCCTGGCCAGTCTCCCCACCTCCACTCTTGCTCCACTCCGTCCATGCCACAGCCGGAGCCCTCATCCCCAAATGCACACCTGACCATATCCCCCTCTGCTCCGGATTCTTAATGGCTCCAAGGTAAAAGCTAAAGATCACTGAAAATCACCAAGACCCTCAGCCAGGTCTCCAGCCTCATCTCTCAATTCTCCTGCTCTCTCTACTCTGCCTTCCCATCATTCGAACAACTCGGGATTTCCAGAATATGCCACCCCACTAGGCCTTTGCCCATGCTGTTCCCTCCATGTGGAATGCCTTCCCCAAGCTGCCCATCAGGGAAACTCTTTTATTTTTTACCAAGCCTCAGCTCAAAGGATGTCTTCCCCTACCCATACCCCAGCCCACCCATCCCCACCCACCCCCGGGGGCCAACGTGGGTGACCCTCCTGCAGGCCTCTCACTACTAGAGGTCAACCCACCATTTTCTAATTGTTTGATGAGTCTGTCTCTCACAAGATTGCAAACTTCAGGAGGGTGAAGACATAGCCGTTTTTCCTTTGACTTGCCCAAACCTACAATGCCTCGTCCTTTAGGCCTTCTTTGAATATTGGTTGAGTAAATGCACACAAGATGGGGGGAGAAAAAAAAAACAAATAGGTCCAGAATTGTCCATGGTTCAATAGCTAGGAATGGGGTGAGCAGGATCCAAAATGGACATTACGCTATGAGGCTCACTCTCTTTTTCTTTGCTTTCCTTTACTCTGATGGTTAGATTTCCACATCCTGAGAATGCCAAGTCACTCGTGTTTTGATCTGTGGAGCGTGCTGTAATCTCTTGAATTCAACTCTCAATCTTTGAGGGACCCCTCTGTTATATACACACACTTCAATTAGGGGGAGATTATTTCCCTTACCAAAAGGCTCATCGTTTCAGTTTCATTAAATAGAGGGTTCTTCCAATGCATGAAGAATGGGATTAGATTTATAGAAATTCAATTTACATTTGGCTTTTTAGGAACAGATGTCTTACACAGCCAAGCCACCACTCTGTCAGGCCGCCTGAAGTTATGGTTTATAGGCTCTTTTTACTCCCTCTGGCACATTCCCTGCTTAACCCCTCGTGACCTGGATCTATTGAAACAACTCGGGGCACCCGGCCACCTAATCCAGTGGCCTTTTCTTGGAGTCGTCTGTCTCCACCTCCCTGAGTCCTATCACGAGGCCGACCATCCCGTTCTCCCTAAAGCCCTCAAAATCCCTGGCTCTGTGGCTCTCTGCCCACCCCACACTAGTCCCTGAGCTTCCAGAGGTGTTTGCTCCTTCAGCTTCCACATGAATGTCTCAAAGGCAAAAAAGCTAAAGCAGATGAGTGATGTGCCTGCCACCCCAAACAGGCCCCGCTTTTATATCCCTATGGAAGACACCATCATCCACTCATTCCAATAAGGCACCTCTCTCTGCCTTGTCCCACAAATGCCATCCATCACTGGGCCATATGGTGTTCAGCTCCTGACTACATCTCAAGCTAATTCACCTCTCCTGCACGTGAAACTTCACCGGAGGCTGCAACTGTCCCTTTCTGCTCATGACCAAAACCCCAGTACTTATTATTAGCACAGCACCTGGCACGTGATAGATAGTCAAGAACCACCGAAGGAGTGAATAAGCAAGCAAATCCCATTTTACGAACTCTACCACGGAGGCTGAGAAAAGGGAAGTGACTGGTACAAGGTCACCGGGGGGCGGGGTGGGGGGGGGAGAGAGAGCCAGGGCCTCAGCCTCAGGGCGGCTCCCGCACCCACAGTCCACTCCTCCGGAAGCCCAGGGTTAGGCTGCACTGCCCGACGCCCTCCGCCTTACCTGACAGCACTGTGAAGACAGCTGCGAAGGCGTTGAGCTTGAGCCCGTCGATGACATTGCTGGAGTGGAAGAGCTCGAGACACATGAGACTGAAGCCAACCACCAGCAGGAGGATATAGAGCACCTCGGAGACCACCGACAGCCACAGGACCCCTGCACGACAGGGGCAGAGCGGCCGTGAGGTGAGGGACGCAGCAGGGAGGCCCCGCCCCGTGTACCTTCCACCCCACGCCCATCGGTTGGGGGACCCAGATGAGGACCGCAGTTCTAGCGTCCTGATGACACAGCTGATCACGGCCACGTCCTCTGCACCAGAACTGGCTCAGGAGCCCAAGCCCAAGTCAGGGGGAGCCCGGCGCTCTCGGGGTGACGCTTACTAGTGCAGGGGCCCCTTCTGACCAGAGGGAGGAACCTCCGTCCTGCAGCTGGACGGAGTCTCTCTTTCTCTTCTCATCTGGTAGATGACTGCTCCCGGGAGCCATCTGATGGCCCGGAGGGCACCCGCCTTAGCAGAGGGACGAAGCGGACACTGTTGTTTCTGAGCAGAGGGACGGGAGGGTGACATCACCCGGCCAAACACCAGCCCCGAGGGCTTCCCTGTGGTTAAAGTGGTCAGGGCGGTGTTCTCTGTCACCTGCAGCTACGAGCACACACCTACATTTTCATCGGCCCTGGACCCTACTCCACTTTTTTCTAGAAACTACTACAGCTCCTGCCACAGCCTCAACCTCGTGGCTGTCCCAGGAGCAGCCATGTTCTAAAGGCCTCCCTTCCTGGACATGGTTGATTGGTCCGGTGTGGTCACGTGACCTAGGACTGGCCAATCAGAGCCCTCCCCTGGCAGTCTGCGCTTGGAAGCACAGAAGTGAACGGGAAGACCAGATCTGATGAGAGCGTGAGCTTTCTGACAGTGTGAGCGCCCGGTTCCTGCTGTTCCTGAAGGTGCACTGCACCTCTGTCCTTCCAGTGGTTTGGTTCCTCAAATATTTGTTTTCCTTGTGCTAGCACAGCTCCCTTTTCTCCCCAGTTTTTCCAATTTGGGTTGCCATCATTTGCCACCTAGTTTAGGGGGCATCTTCTCTTTCTTCCACCCCACATTACGCGCCCCCCCCTTCTTCTTACATGCCTCTCATTTAGAGAGTCCCTTCCCTTCTCTCAGTCTGTGTAGGTCAGTTATAGCTGACACATCCTGGCTCCACATTCAGGCACATGACTCCCATCTAGTCAATCAGAGCTTCAGGAGCCCCCTGACTCTGGTTCAGGAATGAACCTCTCTATGCCTGCGTTTCTTCACCTATAAAACAAGGATAATAATAACACCTATTTCATAGTGTTGTAGTGTTGTCATGCTGTGAGGATTCCATTAGACAGCAATGTGAAGAGCTTGTACTTAGCGTCTAGTGACGGCTCAATTTGTGCCATATTACTGTTGTTGTATGGGAGGAATATGTCCCTCCCATGTCCCAGGAAGTGGAGCCCAGGGGCGCTTGAGTGAGGTCAAGGCTAGAGACAGAGTCAAGAAAGAGAAATGCAATGTGGGAGGAGGTAAGATTTCTGAGAAAAAGGATGGGCAAGATAAAATGCAATGCATCACATGACTTACCTTCCAGGCCACACTAACCAGTGTTAGAGCAAGGCCCACGCTTTAGAGAAGGGACTATGGACCTTTCTCTAAAGGGTCAGCCAGAGACGGACATATGACCCAAGTCAGTTCAATGAGAGTCAGGACTTTCACTAGAACTACTGGTGAAGAAAATTCCTTTCTTTTTACTAGGTTTGAGCCTGGGAGGGTGGAAGGATGGAACTGACTGAGCCAGTCCTTGCCCACCCAGGGGCAAGGGCCTTCCTAAAAGCAGAGCCAGTGCCAAGGAAGGCAGAGCCGAGATGGAGGAGGATTGTGTCCTATGACATTGTTTGAGAGCACCTGGATCCAGCCATGCCTGAAGCTCCCAGTCATTTGTGCTTTCAATCACATGAACCAATTAAGTCCTTGTCTTTGCCTAAGCCAGTTTGAGGTGGAATTTCTATCCCTTACAACAGAGTCCTGATCTTTAGCTTTTCTGTTCTCCAAACCTGTCAAACATGTCCTTCCTACCTCTCTGCCTTTATAAGATTGTTCCTTCCACCGGGACCATCCTAGGGACATCCAATATATACTATTTAGTGAATGAAGCAAACAAACAGAAGATTCTCAGTCCTTATCTGCTCCCTGACAAAGAATCCAGATTCTGAAACACCCACTATCATTCCTACCACAACGGGCTTTTAGAGCTGTGGATAAATTCTTTTTTTCTTTTTCCTTTTTCCTTTTTTTTTTTTTTTGGCTACAAAAATATCACATCTCCTGGGCAATCCCTTGGATTTCTATAAGAGAATAATGTGCTCTTGGCAGCCTGGATGTTGTTAAAACACCCCCTGGCACGGCACACTCATAGCCTCTGAGGCCCTTCTCTGGCCCAAGGCCCACCAAGGCAGCAGGGAGGAAGGCAGGAGATGCGGGGTGAGCTGAGCCACACCAGGAGGGCGGCAGCTCCCGCGGAGGCCTGGCCTCCCTCCCAGCAGCCTTCATCTCTAGCTGCTCTTGCCCGGGTGGCATGCAGAGGCTGCCCCTCACCACTGTGCTGCTTACTGACTCAGTGCCTCCCCCAGAGAACCCCTACTCCCCCAGGAGGGGTGCTCTTATCCCTGCCCACATGGGCCCCAGGCCAGGCCTCCACCCCTCCTGCCTCCCCCCTCCCCTCACAGCAGCATCTGGCTCTGCTCTTTCAGATGGGCTGAGAGGTGGGATGGGGCATCAGGGGCCGAGATGCTCAGAAAATAAGTTAACTGTGGGGTATCTCCGATGCCTGGTTAGGGTCACTTAGGCTTCTTATTCTCTCCAGATTTGTTTCCCTGTCCTGCCTCCCCCAGTTCCCTTACCACTCTCCCCTGGGGCATTTCCTTTGTACCTGACTTACACGTGAATCCTCATCTCAGCATCTACTTCTAGAGAATCTGACCTCAGACTCTAGCATTCACCTGTTAACCTCCTCACACCCGTACGAGGTAGTGAGCAGCATCCGCTTTACAGATGAGCAAACTTAGGTTCAGAGGGACTAAGCAACTAGTCTGCACAGCTACATCGTGGTACAGCCTGGGTTCAAACCCAGGCCTCTCTGACTCCAGGACCCGTCGTGGCTGTAAGTTGGCAGGATGGAAGAGCCACTTTGAAATCATATCATTCTCCGCCCTTGGGCTGGTCAGAGGGGCCCGTCTGGGTTGGAGGACACAGGGTTCCCTGGCCATGGCCCTCATCTCCATGCTCTCCGGCATCCCAAACAATGCCTGAACCAGGATTCCTGCAAGAGGGTGGCCACCGAGTAGGATGGGGGAGGGGTGGACTTCAGGCCTCTGTGATCCCGAGGCCAGCTGGCCACCAGATGTCAGGGGGAAGGAGGTCACAAGGAAGAGCAGACAGGTCTCGGGGATGCCGGAAGCCAGGCTGTGGAAGCTGCTCTTGGCCCCTGAGGCCAAGGCCAGTGCGGTCCTCAGGGTCTTAGCAGGGGAAGGACCCCCGTCAGGAGGCCTGCTCTGGAAGGACGCCTGGGTGGCCTGCTGGAGGTCTCTGCTGTGATCCGAGCGAGAGATGGTGGTGGCCTGCCATGGCAACGGTGGGGTGAGGACCAGTCAGAACCTGGTAACCCCCGAGGCGTGGGCTCAGTGGACTCTGACCACGAATGTGGTGGCAAAGGAACAGGGAGGAGTCCAGAGTGAGGCCACGTGTCCAGCTTGGGCAACTGAGCAGATGGTGGACCTCTCCACCCCAGTGCTTGCCCTGGTCTCCAGAGCCCACTCCCTACCTTCCCCCACCTTCACAGTAGGCTGGTCTTGGGGCCGGGGGGGGGGAACATGACACCACCCTCCACCCCCAGCTGCAGTCCTCAACCAATGCCTGATGTGAGCCACTAAAGTACCCCAAGTGGGTAACACTGGGGGGTGCCACCCACACATCTGTGTTTCCCACCAGGGGAGAGGTGGTATTACACGTGTCTCACCACAACACTAAATTGTCTGAATCAAAAAGTGAAAAAGCTACTCAGTTCTCCGTTATTTTTAAAATTCTTATCACCTCAATCAAAAGAGTCTCTCTCCGGCGCTAATGTGTCCTTAACACATTTCTACCACTTGTTAATTGTTTAAAACCGTGAGAGGGCTCAGAATCTTCAGCAGTTCCTAGGCAGACTTGAAGGGCATTTAGACAATTTCCTTCTGGGCCGGTGATTCTCCATCAGCCCCATCCTCTCCCGTCCTCCCCCAATCACTGCTCTCTGCCCTTCTCTGTGCCCCAGAGGCCTGACTCCTAGGACTGCACCCCCAGGCTCCCTGGCCCTCTGGATGAACAAGGAGGGGCACCAGCTAGAAATCGGAGGGTAGGAAGAGGAAGGTCAGTGTTTCTCTGCCCTGCTCCCTGTCTTGTGCCCCTTCTCTGGCGGAGGCTTCATTCTCTTCCTATGACCACAACTCCCAAGGTTTGTTTTGCAGCTCCTACACTGTCCCCACCCTTTCTCCTGCCCTCCCAAGGCTGTAACGGCTCCCCTCTCTTGCCAGCCTTCGGGGGCCTCAGATTCTCTTAGCCCTTCCCATGCCTTTTTAAGGACTTTTTCATTAAAGTGCCTTCATTTGAACCATTTGGGGGATTCTGATTCCTGCAGGGACCCTCCCTGAGACGTTGTGGTTTTGGACAAGGGATCCAATTAGAGCAGTGATCTGAGCCAGTGGTCTTAGTGTGGGTCCCAACCCGCAGCTGCATGTGGGAAGATGTGATGCTAATTCTTGGGCCTCGGACCTGTCTGTGTTGTAATGAGCTCTCCAGGCGATGCTGACGAACCCTCAAACATGAGCACCACTGATCAAAAGTTCCCTTTTTAATGTAGATATAAGAAAGTGAGTCAACTTCAGGGGCGCCTGGGTGGCTCCATCAGTTAAGCATCAGACCCTTGATTTCCACTCAGGTCATGATCTCGGGGTCGTGAGATCGAGCCCCGGGTCAGGCTCCATGCTGGGGCATGGAGTCTGCTTGAGATTCTCTCTCTCCCTCTTTCTCTGCCCCTCCCACCCCCCCTAAAAAGAAAAAAGTGAGTCAACTTCAGAAGAAGATTGAGTCAATGCTCCCA